GTCCTTGTCCTTCTTTGATTTATCCTTCTTCTTGTCCTTGTCCTTCTTGGACTTCTCTGCTGCAGGTGGTGTTGGATTCTGTTTGACTTTAGCACTTGGGTCAGGACCTTGTCTTTGAGACTTAGATATAGATTGTTTAGGAGCTGCTGCTTGTTTAGTTGCTTCAGCTTGTTGTTTAGCTAATTCAGCAGCTTGTTTATCATTCTCTTCTATTTCCTTTGCACCAGTTGCGACTTCATTCTTGAACTTTTGGAGATTCTCAGCAGCATCCATTACCTTATTCGCTCCTTTAAACAATCCATAAAATTTCTGCCATGGTGATACTGAAGGTATATTTCCACCAATTGCTGGAGGAACTGATGCTTCAGGAGTTGGAGATGGTGTTTTGTCTGAATTGAGATGCTTTTCTGCTTCAAGAACTTGTGTAGTATTTTTCTCCAGGTATGCTTTTGCAACCTCCTTAACTTCTGGACGTTCATTATTTACATCCTGTCTTGGTGTTGATGTTTCAGTAGCGTTTTCCTGAGTTACATTAACAACAGGTTGCTCAACTGCTGAAACATTAGCTGCTTCAGTAATGTTATGAGTAGTTGAAACATTTCCTGATATACCTTCTCCTGTTGGAACTCTTGGAGCAATTGTTGTGATGTTCGCCATTGCAGGAGTTGGAGTAGGAGTGTCATCAATCTTTCTGTCAGCTTTCGTCGTTTGCGTTGTAGTATTTGTTGTTTCATTACCATATTTTGATCTTAGTCTGGTAAGCCCTAACTTCATATGTTCTTCAGGATATGCATACTTATTATATTCACCCTTAATATTCTTTTTCCATTCATCGTATTTATCTTCTGCTGATTTCTTAATTGATGCTAGTCCGTTTACAGCCAATTCATCAGTACCGTTATCAGTAGTCTGGTTATATAAAAGATTAGCAGCTGATCTAATTGTGTAATCCGTAAGATTACCAAAACGCTCTATTGTACCTAATGTTGTGTTCTTCAGTTCCTTTCCAATTCCTTGTGCAGCATCTTTGACTAAATCAGCACCCCATGCACCAAATTGTCTCACAGGAGCCGCTATTGATGGTGAAGGAGATGGAGATGGTGAAGGAGATGGAGATGGTGAAGGAGATGGAGTTGGCGATGGTGTTGCTGCTTTCGCCTTTCGTTCAGCTTCTTCCTTAGCCTTTCTATCTGCTTCTTCCTTAGCCTTACGAGCTTTTTCTTTCTTCTTAAGTTCCTCTAGTTCTTTACGTTCAGCTTCTTCTTTCGCCTTTCGTTCAGCTTCTTCCTTAGCCTTACGAGCTTTTTCTTTCTTCTTAAGCTCCTCTAGTTCTTTACGTTCAGCTTCTTCTTTCGCCTTTCGTTCAGCTTCTTCCTTAGCCTTACGAGCTTTTTCTTTCTTCTTAAGCTCCTCTAGTTCTTTACGTTCAGCTTCTTCTTTCGCCTTTCGTTCAGCTTCTTCCTTAGCCTTACGAGCTTTTTCTTCATAATATTTTGTATACTTATCATCAGCCCAATTACCAAGTGATTTGGCACCTGTTAGTATTCCATTTGCGGTTGATGTTGCTGTTCTTCCGAGCCATCCCCCTACCGCTGAAGCACCATTGCCAATAGCACTACCAGCATTTAAAATTCCACGACCAATCCATATCCCTGGTTTTGCCTTTGTATTAAGAGTAAGAAATTCTTCCTTCCTATCTTCAGGTGTAGGATTTGTAACAGTTCTTACAGTATCAACAACAGTGTCAACACTGGTTCCAATAGCACTACCAACAGCTGTTGCACCAGTTAGAATACCATGGGTAACTAAATCAGTAGCTCTTGAGACAACATTATCACTCGAGGCTTTCTCTGCTGGATAGTTTGATCCTTTGTAAGTTCCTGGACCACCTCTATTTGAAGCTTCTCCTTCAACTATTTTCTTCTCTTCTTGTGCATGTTCTCTGGCAACACTCAATGCACGTTCTTGTCTTTGAATGTTGTCTTTCTTTAACATGTAACCACCAAGTGTCTGTGGTGGTGTGTTTTTATCTAGTGCAGCATCAATTGCAGCCTTTTCTTTTCGCTTTTCTTCGTCTAACCAATTTTGAATAGATTCTGCATCAGTTGGTTCAGCTGGAGTTGGAGACGGTGTTGGAGCTTTAGTTGGTGTTGGAGACGGTGTCGGAGCTTTAGTCGGAGTTGGAGATGGAGTAGGTGCTTTTGTAGGTGTCGTGATGGAGTTGGAGATGGAGTTGGAGGTACTGTTGGTTCTGGAGTTGGTTCAACAGTCGGTGAAGGTGTTGGCGCCTTTGTGATTCTTGGAGTTGGCTCTGGTGTTCTAATAGGGGAAGCAGTTGGTGTATTAGCTCTTTTAAGAACCTGTGATCTTTCCGCTTGATTTGAATCAGATACTGGGTTAGTTGTACTAGGATGTGATACAGGAGTTATTTTTGGTGTAGGTGTTGGTTTATTTAATGTTATACCATGACTACTCGACATTGGTGGAGGACCTGCGTGAGCAGTTGGTGTCAGAGTTGGCGTTGGAGCTACTGTAGGAGTTGGCGTTGGAGCTACTGTTGGTTCAGGAGTGGGAGTTGGTGTTGGAGCTACTGTAGGAGTAGGTGTAGGAGTTGGTGTTGGAGTCGACATTTGTTTTAACCTCTCATTATACCAATTCTCCAAATAATAAGCCTCACCCATTAAGTTACTCTGTCTTTGTTTTATAGAAAATTCACCTAACAGTAATTCATCATGAATCATTTTCTGCAGCTTTGTCGTGTTTTCTACTTCCTTTATTAGAACGCTCGATGTATTCGCCAATCCTCTATATTCCTTAATCATCTTATCTAGTTTGTTCATATTTGGTACTTCCTTTTTCTTCTCAGCGTTAATCTCATTAGATCGTTTCTCCAATTCTTCAACTACTTTGTAAAGCTTATTTATCTTGACATGTGATTCCTTTACTTCTCCAGTCCTTGGATCCTTAGGTTCCTTGTATTTAGCTAATTTCGTCTCTATATATCTTCGTTTAGCGTCATATCCAGGATCACTGGTTCGTAAAGGATGCGAAGGTGGACGAAAATAAGGTATGTAGAAATCTGGATCATCATTAATAGAAGAACGTGCTTTAAAGTTACGAACCGCGTCTGTAAAAGGGTCTCTACCACGTGCTGTATATGTTGATGTAATCAAAAAGCCTTCTCTTCTCATTGGGAAATTAATACGACCTTTTTGAACATATTCTTTCTCAAAGTATTGCCTAGCATTGTAATCAAAAGCAAGATCATTATATATATCGCGCAAAAAATCAAATGTATGCTGCTTGAACTTTTGATCGCTAATTATGGTACGAATTATCGGACGTTCATTCTCCCATTTCTTAACTCGTTCATCAATGAGTTTCCTCTCTTGTTCACTCATTTAAACCTCATAAAAATATATTATCTGCGTATAGTGCCACTAATAGCATTAATCCATGGCATGTCTGATAGTACACGTACTGACTGAACTAATGGCTTATGATTGTTCCAAATAGCTCCTCCAATGTATGCGTTATACTTATTGTTGTCAATAGTTTGTTGAGGTTGAACTATAGGTGTTTCAACAGGCTTGTCTCTACTGAAGTCACCACCAAGAGCTTTATTGAATGCTTTAAGATTCTTCGTTAATGCATTATCTTCACCTAATGTAGTTTTTGCAATTCTTTCACCAAGACTACCGATAACACCACCGACTTGACCAACTTGAGGGAAAAGTTTGTTAGCAATGTTAAATCCAGCACCTATTACAAGACCAGGATTTTTTTTCACCATACCCCATCCAGCTTTAACATAATCGCCAAAACCCATTTATTTCTTCTTAAAATAATGTCATCTTTTGTTGCTTAACTTCTTTAAAGTCCGTCTTTCCTGCAACTATATGAACTTCCATATATGAACGAGGTGTTGGTAGCTCTTTGTATTTGTTCCATAACTCTTCCCAATCTTCTGTTGCTCCTGACTGTTCAATCATTGACTGAAAGTCTCTCATAGAATAACCTTGAAAGATAACGAAGTCAGTGCATAGTCTCTTAATGTTTAAACATATATGTCTCCATGTTTGACACATGATGACAACAGTATAGTTATAATGTCTGACCTTAGTGATGAAGTTCGCTAATGGTGAACGTGGGTCATTCAATAAGTCATGACCACCATAATCGTCTAACACTAATAGAGAATTACTGGGATACTTTGTGAAAGGATATTTGTTCAACTTCTTTACAACATATATTGCAATCTTCTTATACTCAAACTTTCCATCAGGTTTCCTTAGTTGATGCTTTGTTAAGATGTGTTCCATCTCCTCTGAAATTTTTTCGAACTTACTTTGAACGAACTCAACAATAGCGTAATACTTTGCTTTCATCTTAACGTTCTTCATTAAATAAGGCATAAGTTCTTTATCATCCTTTTTCAGTACTGGTGCTTTAACTTGACTCATAAATGTCTTCGCTGTTTTATCCATTGTTCCTGATGTTGCTGAGATAACTATTGAGTCATAATATGGAGTATTAGTGAAGCGGTCTGTTATCATTATATGACGAATAACACCATATGTCTTACCTGAACCCATCTTACCGCAGTAGAAATAAACACCATTAGTACAAAATGGATAATCATCAGAAAATGGCATAATGAGTGCATTGTTTAGTTCTTTACTATTCTTACGTGCTCCATCATGAAGAATCTTATCTACTTGATTAATAACTTTCTCCATCTTTTAGTTACATATAAAATGTCTAAATATGATGGATTATACTATGAACATGTTATGAATGATGGCACGATAAGTGGTAATACAGTCTCATATAAATTACCGAGAGACTTCATTGAATATCCTGCGTCAAAAGCTCTTGAGATAAGAAAGATAAGTCTTGAGCATCCAGACTTTGAGTTTCTTGCTATTCCATTAGAAATGACAGATTCATCAAAATCAGTGAAAAAAAGGTTTGACATGAGATATTACATAAAACCCAACATGACTACACAGGAGTTGAATGAAGGTCTTATGGAAAAAATGACTGAGGCAAGTAGAGAATTTGTTGATTGTTACTATGATTCAAATGAAAATAAATTGAATGTATTAAGAAAAGGTACATCACCAATCATAACATTACCTTCATACAGTAGTATAGAAAAAAATGCCTTGAATTATAAATATGACATGTCCCTAGGAGATGTGTTGGATTTCATCACTGCGTTATTAGAAACCACTGAAACAGACACAACATCAAGAAAACCAGAGCTTGTTTGGGAAGATGACCATGGTAGAACATTCACGCAAAAAGTAATTCCATCGAAAGCAAAATTTTTAGACTTATGGGAAAAAAAATATATCTCGCGAATGCATGTATATTATAGTTTTACCATAGCAGATTTCACTGACGAAAATGATAAAGATAAAAAAACATATAAGTACTTTGATGAGCTTTTCATAACTATAGCGAATATCAGGTTTATCCTTGAGCGAAAGGGCAAACCAACATATAAATTTGTCGGTTATCAGATAAGAATAAATCCTCTCCTTGAGCCTTTAGTAACGTTGAGTAATATTGCTCATGATAACAAACAATTTATATGTAATGTGAATGAACAGCTTGTGCCACCAAAATTTTACGATATCACTGGTTATAAAGATGCACTCGTGTTTGAGTTTTATAAGCGCTTTTCATTCAAAAGAGTTGAAGAATCAACTGATGGTCAAAAAAAGGAATATTATGTAAAAGAACCATATGAAATTCCTAAAGACTCTAATATAATGGTTGAACTTATATTAGAGTCTGGTACTCAATCTCAACATAAATAGTTTACGTGACAGAATTTTTTTGACACGTAAAGTTTACATTTTAATGGAAGCGAACAACACAGCTCCTGCTAGTGAATAAAGGTTAGTTTACATATGAACGTTTATTTTTACACATATATGCGTACATATGCGCGCCCGTATGGTGTCAGTTTTCTGTCACTTTTTTCATTGTGTCGGTGACTGTAGCTGTAGGCTACAGGCGACGCACAATGTATACTGTACTAGTTTATCCAAAATTATCAATAATCAAAATAATATTCTGAACATCAAACGAAACAAGGGTGAAATTGGCCATTATTATGAATATTAGAAGCTACTGAATGAACATCTCTGTATTTTATTTTTCTGTGTTGTAAATCTCAAAATTTCAAAATTACTAAATCTTACTTGCAATTAAGTATATATTTATTCTTTAAAAAATTATTCAATTGACTTTTCAATAGACTCAGAATTTCTTTTTGAAAGTACTATAATTCCTTACATCAAACAATGCTTTAACTTAAGAATTTTTCAAATTAGACGATATGGTGCTGGGTGTGATATATCAAATCCTAAACATTGAAAAACACCCAACAAATCATTAAAATTTAGTAAAATTATGACAAAATCATATTGAAATATATGTGAATACGAGAAATTGTAAGAAAAGGAATAAAAATATTATTGTTTTAACATTTTGAAAGCATAAAATAATTATATATATAAATTACTGAGCAAGTTCTGCATAAGCAGCCTCGATACTCTTAGAGAGTAAGAAGTGGTGCCTCTCGAAAAGAGAAATCTGCAAATCGGTGAAATAGTTAGAACTTCTTGCCTGGTTGACGATAGAATCGATAACAGCAATCTGGTTCGACTTTGTAGCGTCACATAATTGCTTGAATAATTGAGCAACGCCTTCTTCAAGATTTTTCTCTGCATAAGCAATGCAATCAGCGTATTTGAAGGCTGAAAGAAGTAATTGGGCCTTGAGTATCTTGATATTTGTAAGCTGAGCCTTCATTAATTGGCTGGAGCTGATTTGGTCATTTGCGCTTTCTCCGAGCTTGTTTTGGACGTTATCAACAACGAGGAGAGCAAGATCGAGACGGTCAGCACGGCTGTAGCAATCAACGCAGTTGAAAACTGAATCAAATAATAATGGCGGAGAAAGGTGTTGATCGAGGCATAAGTTAGCTGCTTCTTCGTATGTGTTTCCAGCATAGTGGAGAAGGTCAAATTGGGCTTCTGTCTTTCCTAATTCAAGGAGAAGAACGACAGCAAGATTTGGCTTTGAATCGCCTTTAAGAACATCAGCTGCTACACGGTAGCAATGAAGACCATCAGCAAGAGGATCAGACCATGTATCACGAAGATTTCTTGAAATGCTGAAATTGAAATTAGCAGATTTGATGAATAAACGAGCTGCTTTGACAGCCGTTCTAACTGTCTTCTGCTTGTCTTCAATTTTTTGCCAGCATTGCATTTCTCCAAACTTGGCAAGGGCAACAAGTCCGCATTCGAATGGATTTTCTTCATCTTGCGTCCTTGAAAGTTCGTCAAATTCGGCTGCTGTTTCTTTGAGTGAATTTTTAGTGCGGAAGAGTTTTGTTAATTTTGCGGAAATTTCATCAAATCTTTTGTAGAAACTCATATTTGGAAATTTACGAAAAAGTGGCATATCTTTATCATTCATTTCTAATTTTTTAAAATTGAGACTGACATCTCTAATGTCTTCTTAAAAAATCCATATATCACAAAAAAAAAACTAAATTTTATTTTCACATTCAATCCCCGCCTACAAAAAAACTTTTTACATAACAGCAAGGCACATAAGTCCCAGAATGCTAAATGATGCGTAGCGCCGATGCCAAATTCACATTTATTATATAATCATAAAATTTTATAATTATTACTAAGAATCGAATAGTTATAACATGCTGCTGCAATATGTCAATTTATTTACCATCTAAATCCAAAAAAAAACTCAAGTGAGATTGTGTTACAGTCTTGTTTTACATTAATAATTACAAAAATGGAGAAGCTTATATTTTGGAGAAATAACGGCTGGAATTTCTCCAAACGAGATCCTTAATATTCTAAATAGATTTAGTCATCCCCAGGAACCCAAAGGCCATTTTACCAATTCGAAATGAAATTTCGTATGTCTGTATTTGCATCTTGGTAGCATTCCAAAGCATCTTCTAGTTCGTAATACTTCTCTCGTGTATTATAATCAAAAACAAGGGATTCGAACATTCTTGTATCATTGACGGCATACTGAAGAGGAAACTTCGAATTGTTATCTCTTTTTCTTATACAATAGGTATTTTCTATGACTTCTAATGTCGTTTTCACATTACCACTTATTACTGCATAATGAAGAGGTATCTTCCCTTCATTATCACTTATTTCAAAATTTGCTCTATCAGCCATCCACTTTACAAAATTCTTGTTACCATTAATTGCTGCATAATAAAGAGCAGTTTTCCCTTCATTGTCTTGCATGTCGAAGAGAGATGAATTGGATAAAAAATCAAAATCATCACAATAATCAAAATCATCACAATAATCAAAATCATCACAATAAACAAAATCAACATCACGAAAATATATGGCAGCATAATGTAAAATTGTTTTTCCGGAATCATCTTTGAAATCATAATATTCTTCGTTAGTGTAGTGATAGCGGTTAGTTAAAATTGTTTTAGCACAGTAAAGAATTCCTTGGTATTTTTTATCGATTTCAGGCAATGCGGAAAGAATGAATTCACAAACAAAAGGGTATTCAATAGTTTTAGCTATGAATCCTGCGATATCATTTGTTTGATCATAGTGAATTAAAAATGCTTGGATATTATCATATCTTATGCAATAGTCTACATCAATTGGAATTTCATGTTCGTTCATGAGAAATGTAACGAAATCTATGTTGTGAGACATGATTGCATATTGCATGCATTTCTTATCTGGCTTGTGATGTTTCAAACATTCACTCATAATGTCAGGATTTCCTCCTAAAAATGAAAGTTGAAGACATAATTCTGTGATTTCTGATGAGAATTTTGTTCTCAAAAACTTGAAACAATTAACTGAGCCGTAATAACAACATGTTTCAAGTAGAGATAATTGTCTTTCCACACATGGAAAGTCATTAAATTTGATGCTATCAGTATGAGAAAAACTGTCTTCTTCTGTGAGAGGAGCAAGTAATTTCACATCATCATAAATAAGTGATTTTAATAAGTGACTGATTTTTGTTTGATTTGGTTTAGTTAATCTAATCCAAAAATATTTATCTAAAATGTATTCACCAATTGATGAAATATTTTTCCAATGATACTGAGGATATTTTTGAACAAATCTACCCATTAATTTCAAATAAGACTTAATATATCGATTATTCCCTTTGATAGCATTTGAAATTATACGAAGAAAATCATATCCATAATAACCTTCAATATACTTCGAAATTTGATTATCTAATTCTTTGAAAAAAGCATTGATATCGCTATCACTTGATATTTGTAACCTAAATAATCTGCACAAAGTATTATTGTATTCTTTTGCAGAATTCATAAGTACGTCATAAGGGAATTCACTCATGAAAATGATAAAAAATTTCAAAAAAAATTCAAAAAATTTTCAAAAAATTTTCAAAAAAAAAAGTAGTCGTTGTTAAAAATCTTAAAAATCCTGGATTATTTAGTCTGATATCTAGTAAAAGGCATAATGTAGCATCGTATATTTAGAATATTAGTATATTCCATTAGAATTTGAAGACAAAATATAAATTATCAATGATCAAGCATTTGGTCATCATTATTATCGATATTAATAATGCTTTTCATTCGTCAACAACGAAAATCTTCTTTATTAAAGTAAATTGAACCCTCATCACATGATTTCAGCATCAATGTGTTCCAGCTCTCATCAAACAATAAAGTTAAAGTCTTTTTCAATATATTGGTAAGCTTAAATTTAAAATTGAAGAATTGATGTTAAATATAGTTGTTTTACAGAATGTGTCAATGATTTTTAATTTTCATCGGTAACCTGTAAAAAATTCCTGGCAATATATTCAGGAAACAATACAAAAAAAGCCAATGATAAATCTTTGGAAAGAACGGAATTGAATTTTCGCTATATGCTATAATAAAATTGATATACCTCAACACAATCACTCTCATTTTATGGTCATTATGGTTCTTTGGAGAAATGCTTTTTGGAGCTAAGGGTAAAAATTTAGCCTTACCTGACCAATACAAAGAAAAAACATGGGTAAGCATCACACACGCACAGTGCCGCTTATTCCTATAGCATCACCAGTTGCTGGCCATCGTCTTACAAAAAAGATCAAAGAATTGATATCAACAAGCTGCGAATCAAAGAATTTAGTTTATGGTGTTAAAGATACAAAGAAATTACTTCAAAAGAATGAAAAGGGTCTTGCCGTTTTTGGTGGTAATGTTACACCAATGGATGTCATCACCCATCTCCCAGCTATGTGCGAGAATAAGAAACAACCATATGTTTTCCTTTCAACAAAGGAAGAAATTAGTGCTGCTGCCCAGAGAACATCAGCCGTTGCTTGTGTAGTTATCAGAGAACCAAAAGATGCTGATACAAAAGCAAAATATGATGAAATTGTTTCCGAGATTAACGCTCTTAACAACCCAGAGCCAACAGAAGAATAAAGACAATAAAATATTTATTTATAAGCTTACTTATATATACATCTTCTTTTTTTTTACAATAAATTTGATTTTAATGTCATAAATGCCATTTAATGATAATATTCAAATTTACTGAAGTTTTTATGATTCATCTCTATTTCTTAGTATGATAATCTCGTTGAAGAATCATATTGAGGAAATTGTCCAAGAAAAAGATAGTGCAAATATAGCTGGAAAATATCCAAAACCTGATCAAGAGCAAGATGAGTTAAATAATGAAGATGAAACCATCTTTATTCAAAAGTAGTATGATATGACGGGTTTAGTGACTTTTTTTGTTACATCTATATATAGACGATGCATTAAAATATATTTATTTATAAATCATTAAAAAATTAACATTAATTTTAAAATAATTTATTTTTTTATCTTTTATAAAAGAAGCTATATATAGATGATGTCAGATATTCCGCGATTAATTAAACATTGTTTAAATCCTGAATGGGTTAAACTTCAATTTAAAAATGAAGATTGTGAATTATTAAATGAATATGAAAGCCAAAATAAGCTAATGAGGTATAAATATAATGATAAAGAATATTTAATTTCATGGAATCAATGGAGTCATAATCAAAGACCTCATAAACGAGAAGAAGAAATTGAAAATAATGAAATGGAAATCATTGATGACATTAAAGAGGATGGAATTCCTAAATTTTGTAGAAAAACCTTTAGAACTAAGTTAGGAGCATATAAACATAGAGTATTAAATCCTGAATATCTTAAACATCAATTTAAAAAGGAAGACTGTGAATTATTAAACGCTAATGAATATGAAAATGCTAAATCAAAACTGAGATATAAATATATTGGAAGTGATGAAAGGTGTAAAGATAAAGATAAAGTTTATTCAGTTTCATATAATAACTGGCACACGTTAGGGATAAGAAAACATTTAGGAGATTATGGGAAATGTTCTGAATTCTTTAAATCTAGTATGTACGAGAGAGTAAAAGAAATTAGAAATAATTATTTTCATGAATGAAAGATTCACTACCATAATGAAATAAAAAATAATTTTTTTAAAAATAAACTTTAAAAATTTATGTCTTACGAAAAATTAAAACTTAGTTATGTTTATTATTTTATTTTTTTATTTTGTATGAAATGAACGGAACAAAATTCATGACTGTGAATCAATTAATGGATAAACTTTCACCAATTCTCACCCAGGTTAAACAAGTAGACGTTTATTTTGATGATTGCATAGAAAGTTTATTTTATAAAGGTAAGTTTAATATTAAACCCATTGCTTTTGCATTTGATGGTAAATTAATCGAAAATTCAAAAATTTGGGAATTAATTCCGAATATTGAATTTATAACAAATATTAAGGATAAGTGGTTTAAACAACAAAACCACGTCACTAAAGTTCTTTGTAGATTAATGATTAAAACTGAGGAAAAAGAATTTAACAAGTTTAAATATCATCCATGTAAAATTTTAGAACTTGGTAACGAAAAACTTCAGAAAAAATTAAACGCAAGACTATCAAAAGATAGAGTTGAAAGAGTAATTAAACTCGCTAAAGATAATGATGATGAAGAATTTGATGAGTTCAACATTGAACTTTAAGAAACTAATGATTATTTGAATTTATGAAATCAATTATTTGATTCATTCTTTCTTCAATCTCTTCCATTCTTTTTGTTAAATCATCAATTTTCATTAATGAGGTGATTCTTGATTGAGGAATAGATTTCAAACTAACCACTCCTTTTATTTTTGAAATTTTGAATCCATCAACTTTAAACATTTTATTCAATTTACATGTTGTCAATTTTTCAAATAATTTTTTATTATTAGCATAATAGTCATTAAATTCTTCAATAGATGAAAAAATTTTTATTTCAGTAATTGGTTTAACAACGTTTATTTTTTGTTGAACATTTTCACTTTCATTTATTTCTTCCTCCTCTGTTTCATTTATTTTTAAAATCGGTTTCATTTATCATTAAATAAAAATTAGAATATAAGTGATGAAATATATTTTTTAATTAATATTAAATCAGAAATGGCTGCAGGATTCTTTAAAAAATTATGGGATGGAATTAAGAAAGCTGCGGGTTGGGTTTATAAAAAGGTTATTAAACCTGTTGCAAACTTTTTGGCACCAGTAGCGAAAACGGCAGGAACTATCATAGGTGGAGTATTAGGTACTAAAGCAGGTAATCCAGCGATGGGAGCACAAGCAGGTAACGCAATTGGTGGAATTGCTGAAGGAATACTTAATAAAATAGGAGGTAGATAGTGGAAAAAATAAATAAATATTATTTTTATCTTAGTATCGGTTGAAGTCTTTGATAAACTTTTTCTCCTTTATTTAATATTTCTCTTATTGGGGCAGCTTTTGGTGTTATTGATTCAGCTACGTCACTAATTGCTTCTTTATTCTTAAATATCCAATTTGCTCCCTTCTTCAATGTTTCCCAAACTTTACTCGCCCCTCTTTTTACTCTATCCCACAGTTTCTTAAATATACCTGCAGCCATAGTTGATTATTTCATTAAAATTAAAAATTCATTTCCATCTTTTAATTTTGATTTTTTTATTTATTAATAAATGACGACTAACTATTTAGTGCCAAACACTAAACCAATTAATGGAAATGTGTTTCATTCATTCGAAAAGATAAATGAAATATTCGCAAAGAATGACGGTAGAAGATATTATAGAGAACTTGAAAGTTCATGCTATGACTCTGATACTCCATATTTTGATGATAAACAAACTCATTTAAGAATTACAAATCCGGCTCATGATGTGAACCAATTAGGTGACACATATATTAAACGCAAAGTTAAAGCAACTCTTGTTTCAAATAAAGCTTTCACATGTGATGCCGCTTTTAAATGTATGCGTTTATTCGTTGGTTACAAATCATCAAATCAAAGCTTTAAACAATTAGAAGTAGAAACTGAAAGAGGTGATGCCGGTTATCTTCAAATGGATTGCGCCCGTGAATCTTTCGCATTTGCAACATATAAACCGAAATCAGAAAGGAAAGTTAAAAAGTTTGTTCATTCGTTATATAATAATGTTCAAAAATATGATAACTCAGTATGTGGTAAATATATTGACCCTTCAGAAGTTTTCAAGAAAGCAAATGAAGAAGTTGATGTCACTTTTGATATGATTATTCCGGTAAATGATTTGTTAGCATTTCAGGCGTTCGATGATTATCCTAAATCATTTGGTGATATCATTCTTAAATATTATGTTTACAGGGATACTTTAGTATTTTGTCAGGTTGACCCGTTAAGAGTTGCTGATTTACAAAATTACGTTTATGAAAAGATAACTGATGAAAATTATGAAAAGATTATGAATCATGTTTATAAATATGATCGCAAATTCCAACAAATCGGACTTCCTGCCAAATTAATCACAAGCTTAGCCGCTACATCTGCTGACGCAACAGTTGATGACGTTATTATTTCATGCACAAAGATGGAGGTTTTAGAGGATAAATGTATTACACCAGGATACGGTTTAATTGAAGAATCAGTTAAAGCAATACCACGTTTATTCAGTAAGGAAGATCCATTCATGATTCCAGCTCAACATATTGACGTTCGTTCACTAAATGGAGGTTGCATCATTCCTGAAGGTATTAGCTCAGATTTCTCATATGCTCTTCATAATGTTACAGATGTTGTGTTAACATTTCCGAAAAATGCAATGCAAAGAACAGTTTTAGAAAATCCAATGCTTCGAGGTCTTCAGGTCACTATAGATTCCAGAAACTTCCCCGATCAAGCGATGACCACAGTGGGTGACATATTCTTTACACGTATGCTTCAAGCTTCTGATTTAGATGGAGTGAATGAATGCACGGAAGAATATGAGGACTCATTAACTAGACCACTGAATGATGATAATGGCGCGCCATTAGCTAGAACATGGAAAGACCAAACTTCATTCTTATGCACTATTCCAGTTCAACGTGATGGAGCGGGTATATTCTTTGATGGATTAGAAACTTTCAACTCACAAGTTACAGTACAAGTGAAAGCTTATCCAATCATTCAGGGTGAAAATGACACTTACTGTTCAAAGGTGACAAATCCTCCTCAGGTTTGGTTTACTAGGACTACATATTGGACATGGACACCGGATGAAGGTTTGAAATATCATCCAACAGGTACACCACCACAGTATAGAAGTTCATATGATGAAATATTGATGAATAGAAATGTTTAAAATTATAAATTTATTTTTGATTAAATGGATTTAAATTCATCCACCCCTTATGAAGAATTAGCGGGAGTATATAATACATACGTAGATGATATGATTAATGAAGCATTGAGTGATAATAGAAATGCTCTATCTAAGGAAAAATTAATGAAAATTCCATATTCTGAATGTTACTTAAATTCAATCACTGCAGCAATTGGTAAACAAAATAAAGGTAAAGCATTAACGATATTAAAACAAATTATCATTATTGCTAACACTTCCCCCCATTCACATGTGTTAATTTATATCAACCGTTCAGGTTCACCTTCAGATGATACATTTGAATCTTTAAAGCATTTAATCAAAATTCCAATTATTTATTTATCACAAGAAGAAGCAGAAGATTATTTAAAAAACTTTTTAATGTATAAAGAATTATATAATACAATCGAGAAGCAAGGATTAGAGGATAAAATTATTGATAAACAACGGGATGAATTATTTGAAACACTTTCCATTTCAAATTTTGATAAAGAATTTTTGCATTCACTCATTTTTCTAGATGATGCAGTGAAATCAAAACTAATAACAAATGAGAAATCATATTTTAATCAGTTATTAACTCAATGTCGACACATTCAGTGTTCATTTTTTATGGCTGTTCAATATTTCAAAGCATTAAGCACAAACATTAAATCAAATCTATCAACACTTTTCATTTTCAGTAGGTTTAGTCGTCAACAGTTGAACGTTATGCTTTATCAAGTGAATTTACCAAT